ATTTGGTCTATATAAAAATTAATATCATTGTTAATTTAAAATATTATATAATAAGTTTATAGTTGTATTGAGTCATACTTTGCTAAGAAAGGTTTTAGACAATGTCTTTATGAGCATACCCTCTTTATCAAAGTAAAAGATGGAGGTAAAATCTTCATTATATGTCTTTATGTTAACCATATTATTTTTACAGGTAGTGATGAAACATATGTTTGAAGAATTTAAAATTCTATGATGCATGAGTTTGATATGTTAGATCTTGGACAAATGAAATACTTTCTTGGATAGAAGTCCTGCAAAGTCAATAAGGCATTTTTATTTGTCAAAAGGAATAAGACCAACAGGTGTTAGAAAGGTTTAATATGGACAAGTGCAATCCATTACATAATCTAATTGTTCTAGAGTGCAAACTCATAAGGGATGAGAATTGAATTAGAGTGGACAACACTCAATACAAGCAGCTAATTGGAAGCTTGATGTACCTAATTGTTACTCGCCTTGATATCATGTTTATTGTTAGTCTTTTAAGCAGAGATATATGGAGTGTCTGACAGAAATGCATCTCCAAACTGCTAATAAAGTATTAAGATATATATAAAAGGGAGTTCCAAATTTGGGATATTCTACAAAAAGGCAAGAGATGAGGAACTGGTTACTTATACAGACAGTGATGATGCTGGTGATCTGGATAACAAAATGTACTTCAAGTTATGCTTTTCTATTAAGTTTGGGTGTTGTTTCTTGGTCTTCTAAGAAATAGCCAATAGTCACTTTGTCTACCACTAAAGTTGAGTTTGTAGCTACCGCCTCTTGTGCCTATCAAGCCATTTGGATAAAGAGAATTTTAATTGATTTTAATCATTCTCATAACAGTGCCACAACGATTTTCTATGACAGTAGCTCATCTATTAATTTCTCAAAAAATATTGTTTATCATGGTCGTAACAAGCATATAGATGTGAGATTTCATTTTCTTCGGGAGCTCACAAAGGATGGAACTATAAAATAGGTCTAGTGTCATACCCACAAACAAGTTGCAGAAATATATGACCAAGCCAGTAAAACTTAATCAATTTTTGAAGCTTCAGGATTAGGAATTTGTTCTGATTCAAATGTAAACTAAATTCATAGTTTTCAGTTTAATGGAGGACGTTGAAATTTGTTAATTCTTTAATGAGTCTTATTATAAATTTAAATTAGACTTCAATGTTACTTAGTGCTTTGAATTTTCAAGTCTGTTAAGTGTTTTTGAAGGATTTAGATAATACTTTCCTAGTTATTCTCCACGTTAGTAGGTTGAAAAACATGGGTTGAAGTTTTCGGGTGTTCTCTTTAACTGATATATGGTCATATTAGTTAATCAATAGTTGTGATTTTCTACTTACTATTTTGAATTTGCTTTTACATTTAGCTATTTTAGGGAGTTGATTAATTTTTTCCTTCTCCCTATTGTTGCATGTTACAAAGTGACCGTGGTGTAAGACAGGATAGTGGTGGTATGATATGGTGAAGTGGTGAAAGGTGTTTGAGTCTTTCCCTAATATTGTGAGGGCGCAGTTAGTAACTATGGGAGTGTAGAAAACAATAGCCCTATTGAAACTTCCTAGATGCAAAACACAGTTGTGCCTATTCTGAATTCGTCCTTGTAGTAAGAAACCACTATTTGTATGAAATTTCTTCCTATACCTCCATAATTTTAACCTTCCTTTACATAATTTAGATTGTGGAATTTAAAATGCAAATTTATATTTTAAAATATTTAATATAGAATGCACTTTTTATTTTATATTTTCTTATAATTCAAAATAAAAAATTTTATATTTTGAAATACATAATTCGGAACAGAAAAATCGTATCCCAAATAATATGGTCCTAAATGCATTTTTTTTCTATTACAATTCAAAATATAAAACATTATATTTTCGAGGCTATATATCTTGGAATAGAAAAAATTATCCCAAATAATATGGCTTTGTGCAATGTCATGATGGCGTGGGTTACAAGAAGAAATAAAACAAGTGTGTTGAAACAATTCAGCATTACATTGCCTCTGCCTTTTGTATCGCACAATAGTAAGAAAAAAGAGCAACAGTGATGTTAAGGTGTCAAGGTTAATATGAGAAAAGTTGGAAAATATAATTACAAAATTTACATGATGCATTAATTTATAAATTTCTTCTCATAAATTGTTATCTAATGCATAAGCTACTTTTTCAACGCTAAAAAATATATTTTATTGCAATCTTATTTTTCTTTTCTAGAAATATTTATAGAACAATTTGTTGATTCATACCCTAAAGAAAAAAGACCCAAAAATAAGGCACTTCACTTGTAACTCAGCTCCAGCGAATATTCCAAACTAAATTAGTTTAAATTTTGAAGTAACTTAGTGTTAGTGTTAGGATATGGTATAATGGGTAACGGGTTTAGGATAGAAGTAAAGAGCGGGAAAGTTTGTTAGGCTATTAAGGGAAGAGAGAGAGTATAAATAAGTCTTTTGGTAATTATGTGAGGAGAGTCATTTTCTCTTAGTATAGACAGGTCTTGAACCTTGTGAGGGGGATTAGGCCTCCGATGTAGAACAATCTTGTCCTCAAGGTTGGAAACAGGAGGCTTGATCTCATGGCTCCTCTTCATCATCGTGTACTCATATGAATGGAACCCTCTCGCAACTGCCTCCAATTTACGTATGGAGGTTTGGGTGGTGACAATTCCTCCTCCAATGACTTCCATTATTCTTGGATTTTATTAGCTTCCAGCATTCTGGTCACCTCTTTTCCAGAATTATAATCCCTGAAGAAATGGTCTTCGATGTCTTTCAAAGCTTCCAAGGCCACAGAAGACAAGTCGTCTTGAGGACGAACGAGCGGTGAGGTGACACGGTCCGAGGCCGATCAAGATTTACCGAACGGTCGGAGGCCAAGCGCTATAGCCTAGGTCAATCGAGAGTGGTCGAGCGCTCGGCCGGTTCCAAACATGAGAGGACTGCTGGACCCAACAGGAGAGGACTGACGAAGTTGAACGTGACAAGATGGCCAGAAATGAACAGGCTAGCACTACAAGCTGCGAACCAGAGAGGACTAAAGGAACCAAATGGTCTGAAAGCGAACGGGAGAGAATCGCCGAATTCGAACGTGAAAGGACGGGAGGAACCGAACAGTCTTACATTTACAGTCAAAGGCCGAATGGTTTTACACTCAAAACTGTCTCCTAGTCATCGGCCGAATAGTCTTACAATTACATTCAAAGGCCGAATGGTCTTAACGTCCAAACAATCTCTCAATAATTGGTCGAACAGGCTTACAATTAAAATGAAGGATGAGGAGGGAAAGGTGGATGGAAGAATCAATGGCCGAGAGAGAAGGATGGATTTTGTGAAGAGGTGGACTAGCGAACAAAAGAAGGGCGTTCGTGAAGCACCTGCAAAGGGGAGAGAACTTTTTGAAGCTTTGAAAGACATTGAAGACCATTTCTTCAGGGTTTATAATTCTGGAAAAGAGGTGACCAGAATGCTAAAACTAATAAAATCCAAGAAGAATGGAAGTCATTGGAGGAGGAATTGCCACCACCCAAACCTCCAAACCTGAATTGGAGGGCAGTTGCCAAAGGGTTCCATTCATATAAGTACACGATGATGAAGAGGAGCCATGAGATCAAGCCTCCTGTTTCCAACCTTGAGGACAAGGTTGTTCTACAGCGGGGTGTAATGTTAGGATATGGGGTGGCAGGATATAATGGGTTTAGGATAGAAGTAAAGAGCGGAAAAGTTTGTTAGGCTGTTAGGGAGAGAGAGAGAATATAAATAAGTCTTTTGGTAATTCTGTGAGGGGAGTCATTTTTTCTAAAAGTATAAACAGGTCTTGAACCTTGTAAAGGGGATTAGGCCTCTGTTAGGGCTAAGAGGGGGATTAGGCCTCCATTAACGCTATCTGTGTACTTTCTTTGAATATCAATACAGAAACTCATTCTTTTTACCGTGTTGATTCTTGTTTGTGTGCGTGATTGGATTGTCTTAGTTAGCTTTGTAACTCAGCAACCTAACACTTAGTGTAGAAATAAATTTTCTAAATGAATTGATAACAAAAAGTTGACATAAACTTATATTTCCACCTTATCATAAAAAAAAAAAAAAACTAGTACAACAGGTTTAGAGTCAATATAATTGATTGAAATAACTCAAACATAAAAATAAAATAAAAAACAAATTATGTTTGAGTAGATGAGTGTACGTTTAAGGAAATTCTAATATCATGAATTCCAAGTAACTTCTAATTCCAAGTAACCTCATAAAATTCTTGTTTGAGAAAAGGAAAACAAGCACTTACATTCTTATTGAAATAAAATACTCAGATGAAAATGGGCCAGTTCAAATCTCAAATGAACATTCTGATCATATTATGTGGTGAAACAGACACTACACTTACACCAAAAGTACTTCAGAATCTATGTACTACTTGCCATACACACATTGAGTGGTCAAAAAATATTCTGACAATTACCAGCTGAAATGATACTCCTTCATAAACACAGATTTTAACATGGGCAAGTTGCAGATACTATTTGATCCAAATTTGACTTCTTTAGAGTAAGAAGTGCACTTTATAAACATATTACAGTTAACATCATTGATTAGAAAATTCACTTTTTAATTATGATTATGTGCATGCACTTATATAACAATCATTGTTTGTTATTCTTAATAGTTGATTCTCAATCAACTGTTATCATTACACTATTCTCTCATTGCATCAATTCCTCCACAAGTCACTGGCTCATAGCAGACACAATGACAAAAACTGAAAAGCAAGTCACTAAAACGATTCCAGGTGTAATAGATGCAAGAGAAATGAGTGTGCCATAGTAAAAATAAACTGCAAAATGTGCATGTGATAGTAATGGTACACCAATTACTATCATAATAATATTGTGATCTCTTGTTTGTAATCATGATGACCCAATATAATTAATGATGGGAGCATCATATATACAATATTTTTTGAACAAAATTGGAGAACCAAAAATTTTTGGCAAGAATCAATATCTCACTCCTATTTTCTTGTGTAAGGAATGCAACTCCTATCTTCCATGTCCACAATAACCTGCAGAAAAAAAGAAAGAAACCAAAAATATTGGTAGAAGCAAGGAGAGAAGATCATGGTGTGACATATGGTCCACTAAATCAATAAGAATGGACTATACTGTCACAGCACACGGAACGAAACCAGTTGAGATAAGGGTAATATGGATGCCTTATCTAGCATTTACAGTGCTGCAAAATCTATTCTGAAGCTGTTGATGGAACTCTGAGTATTTGCTGAAGAAAGCGTGCTGCAAGACGTTGAGTGATTCCACTAACAACACGCCCCCCAAGTCTGCGTGCCTCAGGTTGTTGCTCAAGGACCTGCTCATACGTTACGATTTTGAATAGAAAGTTTTTATATAGTTGTATAAGGCTGAAAAAGTTCGATCCAATCTACTAAATACTTTACAAGAAAGTAATATGTTAATGTAAATTTCAAAAGTTAACTCGGTACTATATAATGAACTATTACAGTTCACTTTTTTAAAGATCATCTTAGCTCTTAATGTAATTTTCAATGCTATATTTTAGTTGCACGATCACGTCTTTTAACATCTAGACGCTCCAAAATTGAAATGTTCCACAAACTCCCTTCTGATTTAGTATGCAATGATACTCACAAAATGCTCTGTTAAAGGAATATCATAAATAATAATCACCAATTTTGGAGTTTTGTAGCATTCATCCAAATTAGTTTATATGCCTAACACGTTCGATAATAAAGTAATTTTGAAGTTACACACCTAAGTTGTAAGCAACATAAAATATGCAAAAGATGCAGACAAGGTGTTAGGAATCTGGGTAAGAATCCCAACTCACTCACTCTCTAACACACACCAGTAATCACAAGTCAAGAATTGAGTAAGAGTTGTATTGTATTCACAACAAAAGAATCAAGAATACAATCTATAGACCAGGAGCTTAACCTCCTTCACCAAGTTCAAAACCGGTCAACACAAATGAATGTAGTAACTCCCTCCATGAAACTACAAAAGAAGTCCCTTATATAGACTTTTTCCCGCCCCCCTTAACTGTTCAGCAGTTAAGTATTCTTCCTTATTTCTCTACTTTCTTTCTCCTTTCATAAACCCTCCATGTCCTAACACAAGGGAATAGTTATTCCGATTTGAATGATGCTGCAATTATAAATGATAATCTTACCTGTAGTATGGGCAGAAAAATAGCTGGATCAAAATCATGAGAGGATTGAAGAAGTCCCCATATTCTAAGAACTTGATCTCTAAGCTCTATCATGTTTTGCAATTCAGTTTCCGACATCATAAATGGTCCGTTTGCATTGCCATTGAAGACAAGGGTCCTAACAAAGTGAGGAATATATCGGTACGTTTCAGACATTGTGCCGAGGGTAAAAGCTTCTGATACTCGAGCAGCCTCTTTTATAACAAGATTCCTCAAATCTTCACCATCTGCACTCAATAACACCTTCAGGACAGGTTGTAAAGCCTCCTTAGCAGAAAAATCTCTATCCTTTCTCCCCTGAGTTAGCAGGTTTTCAAGTCTATTCCATCTGCACCAGACCCGATTAATGAATATTCAATTGCACTAAACATACATTATTCTACAGCACCAAGTTCAAATCACAATGGATTTAAGATAGTAGCATATTTCAAACCTGAACTTCCCATCCTTGAAAAGCAACTCTATAAGAGCATCTCTTAGATATGGATTTGGATCTGTTAGAAGCCTTTTTGCAAAATATGGGTATGATGCAGCCAGTACCTTAAAATTGGGATCAGCATACAATGCTAAACCTTCTAAAACTGTGAGAGAACGTAATATTAATGCGTAGTATGCAGGAACTGTCAACAGAAGAGGAAACGAACAGAAAAAACAAAAATCAGCAAAACAGAATCTGAAAGAAAGTTAGGATTTAGGAATAAGAAGTAAATGTTTATAAGTCACTCCCCTAATATTGGAAAAGAAATTATGGAAATGATAAGTCACTGATAAGCATAGCCTATCTTACCATTAAATGGATACTGATATAAAACGTTTCCCAGACCATCTACTAGTGTCTTGAAGTTGAGCTCACTCACAGTATAATTAAGTGCATCATCAAAAAAGTTCCTAAGTGCTGGCACTATTGGAGATACATCAACATCCCTTGATAAAAAATCAAGATCATAGTAGTCACGAGCCATGGCCTCATAGTCTCGGTTAACCAAGTGAACAACATGACCAATTATGGCATATCTTGCTTCTTCTGGAGTCTCACTCATCATGCCGAAATCAAGAAAGGCAAGTTTTCCCTCAGGTGTTGCCAAAAGATTCCCAGGGTGAGGATCTGCATGAAAATATCCATACTCAAGTAACTGTCTGAGACTGCACTGTATGCCTGCGTTTACCAGATCCAAGACTTTTAATCCTTGTCTCTCAATTGCTTCTTGCTCACTTAGTTTTACTCCATCAACCCACTCCATTGTTAGAACTTTAACACTTGTATAGTCCCAGAAAACATCAGGAACAAAGATATTTTCCTTGTCAGCATACAATTTTTTGAATCTCCTTGCATTTTGTCCCTCCTGCAGGAACCTGTCAAAATTAACATTCAATCCCAACAAATATCTTACATAACTTATACATGACACACACACACACACACATATCATCCTAGGGAAGTTTTCAATTACAATTGGAAAAAGATACTATGGTTATATGCCTGCCTTTTGCCTAATTTTGGCAAATCAGCAAAGGCTCAATGTTTAATTTTATTTTTATTTTCATAAACAAGGTTTTAGAAAGGTCCACAGCCACGATTTTGGCCATGGTATCAAGGTTTTGGAGTCACCATGACTGCAATTACCAAATCAATAAGGATTACCCCAAAACAGCAACCATTACTGTGACCACAACTTAAAACCATGTTCATAGAGAAATTAAATAGATTTGGAAATTGGCAATAGATGAATCATGCATGCCTGAATTCAACTAAAATACAAAGTTTGATACTGGCAGAAGGAATAACCTGAACATAGTTGAGCTCTTGAAAAACTCTACGCGCAAATTCATCAACAAGAGCAACAACATCACTGGTGATAAAGTTCACATATTTATTTATAAGAAACCCTAGACCTCTAATTAGGTAGAAGTCCAATCCTATAGCTTCTTCAATGTCAGGCCGTTGCACCTTAACAGCAACAAGTTTCCCAGAATACTTCAGCTGGCCTTTATAAACTTGACCCAAACTGGCTGCTGCTACAGCCCTCGGAGATATAGAAGAGAAAATAGAGTCAATAGATAGTCCTAGTTCCCTCTCTATGCATTCAAAGGCCTGCTCATCAGGAAACGTTGGCAATCCATCCTGATAAAGCACAGAAATAATGAAGACAACCTAAGTAACCAGTTCATTCATAAATATCATAACACAAACAAATATACATAGACCACAACTCACTACTAATAGACATAGACCATCACATTAGAGAAAAATTTTCATTGAATATCATCAATATTGTCCATTGTTAATATAAAGACCATATACAATAAAAGTCTTATATCAGTAAATGAGATCAGTTACATGAATCACACAATGTCAGTCAGTTGGGTTAATGAAGAAATTTGAAGAGACCATAAAGTCAAATGAAATAGTGAAGATCCTCCTATGTTGCATATGGACATAATCACAACACCAATCATTATTCTCACAAAAGGCCAGAGTTAATCAATTCCTAGAACATGCTTCACTAGAAAACCCTAACAGGCTAAACCACCCCCAATCAAATAAAGAGGTGAAAGAGTACATAAAATTCAATACTTGAAGTTCAGAGAGCTCCTCCAGATACTCAGGGGGACATATATCAGGCCTGGTAGACAACCCCTGACCCAATTTGACAAAAGTTGGTCCCAGCCGAGTGAAAGTGTCCCTAAGCTCAATTGCACGAATCCTTTTATTCTGATCAAGCACTCCACTTTTCTGGTCAACCAACAGCTTCAACCCAAACAAGCCCACCGCAGTCAGAACCTGAAGGGCCCTTCCCACCACCTACCAAGAAAAAGGGTAAAATCAATTCACAAAACCCAACCACACCCACAAAAGATAATCCCAAAAAGACTCAAAATTCGAGAGAAGCAGAAAAGGAAAAAGTGAAAAACCTTGATGGGTTGAGAACCATATTTGGAGGCCACAAGCTGAGGCGAGTAGACAGAAGCATTGGCAGCACGAGCCAACGCTCTGGCCTCAGCTTGAATGTCATCAGAACGGTTCTCAGGAAGCGCAAGCACCTTGATGGATCCATCTCGTGAAGAAGGAGAAGAAGGTGAACTTGGCGGCGTTTCCTCAACCAAAACACCACGAGGTTGAGGATTCAGCCATGTGAAGCTTGTTCTAGTTCTGGTTCTAGGTCTTGGTCTTGTGACAGTGATGCTTTTGAAAGAGAATGAAGGGGCATGATTTGAAAAAGAACAAAAGGGTTGACCCGGGAGGGAAGAAGATAGCATTGTTGCAATTGTAGCCATGAGCACTTGCTTCCTTGCTCCACTGTGATGCTGTAAAGCGTCAAATCTGAAAACTTTGTGAATAATGGAAAAGACCAATTGAAGAAGTTAGAGAAGAGGTAGTGAATTTGGCACAAAGTATAATGGGGGTTAGGTAATTTGGGTTTGGATCATGGGAATGGATATTGCAACTCAATGAATGAACTTGTTCACTGTTCACATGGAAGAACAACACTATAATGTTGAAGATGGTGGGTGCGGTACCTCAAATTTGAGAAACAACAAATCATAAGTTTTTTTAGAAAAATTTAAAGCAACTTTTTTTTTTACTAATTATATAATTTTTAAAAATAGAATATATTATATCCAACCTATAATAAAAATCAAACTAATTGATTCAACATATATATATATATATATATATATATATTTATATATATATATATATATATAATAAAAAATCAATATATATATATATATAATAAAAAATCAATATATATATATATATATATATATATAAGCTTAGAATGACATTAATAATTGATTCAACATATATTAGCATAACATAAAAAAAAATACTATAATTTTATATGAAATCTTTAATGTAGTGGTATTGTTTCACATATTTATGACCCATAAAACAAGGATGAATAAAATTTGGACTAAAATGAGCCTGGTAAAGTAAATTTCATGTAGTTTACAAAACCCAGATGTGAAACTGGTTTAAACCATGGATTGTGTGGACCAAGTATAAAAACTCTACATTCAAACTTCTATCCACCAATGCAAATCCATGTATGAGTTGTTTTAAATTAGAAAAATGAAATGGTAAATTTTTTTTTAAATTAATTATTTAATTTAGAAAGTATAGATGTTTTTTAAAGGAGAAATAATGTTTCACATGTTGGGATAGTTTTACTCTACATATATCAATTAAAAGAAAATTGAATTGACATAAATTTCCACCAATTATATTTAAGAGAAATAATAAGAATAAAACAGTAATTTATTTTCATGAATGTCTTATACAGAGCTTATTATTTTAGAATTCTTGAAAAAGACAAGTATTTTGAAAATATGTGATATTGTTGCTCTGGTATTATATAGCTAATTATTGTTATTTTGAAAATATAAGAGGAGATTTATTACTGTCAGAATCAGTAAAATACAAGCACGTGTCGTTAGTGGAATTCACGTGTCAAGAGGAAGGCTCGACACTCAGATGACGAACGCCAGGTGTCAAGTGAAGGAGACCCGGAAATCAGTTAGTGGAAAGCAGGTGTCGACAGATGAAGGGACGTCCGTTTTGAAGTGTGAAGCAAAACTTGGATTTTCAGAAAAACCTACCTCACTCTCTGCATGCACTCTCTTTTCTAAATTTCTGAAGAACCCCATTCTCTCCTCCTTCTCTCTAGATCCTCTTCATCTTCTCTCAGAGAAAACACTCACTTTCTCTTCTCCGATCACTATTCCGGCACCATAGAAGCACTTCCGGCGTCAAGAGCTTCAAGATAAACCATTCGGTTTGTGAAGCTGGGCTGGTAAGTCCTTCTCTTCGCTCTGTCGTTCGTTTTCCTAAACATGCAAATCCAGTTCTGGGTTCGTGTGTTAATCACCATTCTTAAAATGAGTGGTTCTGATAGTGTCGGGTTGTCACTTGGTGTAGTTGGAATTGTCGAGCGTTGACGGTAGAAGAACCTGTAGTGGTGAAATTTTATTTCTGCGTCTGGGAACGTTCGGTCACGCTCAGAGGTAAGGGAAGCTTATTTAATTTAATATGTATGCTACTGTACTATATGATCATTCGTTAGTTAACTGAATGACTTTGATGCATGATGATTGATATGATTGGATTGCATGAACATTCGTTTGTTTAATGAATGGAAATGAAATATGGTTGAGTTATGTTTTAATGCATGAAAGATATGAACCTTATATGATATGAATTGTATAAAGTATGAAAGTTGATTATGATATGAATGTATAAAGATATGAAACTATATGTTAAGAAATGAGACAAATATAAATGAATTTTGAATATGAAATTTCTAATATGAAAGTGTACGTTCGTTACTGAACGGTCATTGACCGTTCGGTTCTTCTGGTAAACATAGTTGAAATGGGATTCTTTCATTTGGAGAGAATCCTAGTTGAGGACGAGCGTCCTCGTGTGGTAATACTATGCTTGAGCGTTCGGCCAAGCACAGTTGTATCTGATATCCTGGGATAACTTAATTTATATATAATCTATAATAATATCCGATCTAAACTCTATATATAACTCTATTATATATACATATATAATATATATATATATTATCGCTATATCTATATATATACTTATATAATCTACTGGTATCTTTTCTGTTTTCGTAAACACTAACTTCATAGTACTGACTATATTATCACGTCTTTTATCTAGTTCATTAGTCGTCGGTCTTACCACCAAGCTCTCGTACTGAGTAGGTTCTCGGTCTATCACCAATCGCCGTACTGAGAGTGCTCGTCGTTACACCACGCCCGTTACTCGGTTCTTGTTAATCTATCTTGATGGAAATAGTGTTCGTCTAACTTCAATAGAATTTGTTCTTCTATACCGCGCCGTCATGACCCCCCCGCATTCGGATTGCCTTGCCATGTGCCAATTCCATACACGCAATTACCTTCATGAACGACCAAGTCTATGAAGTCCAAAGGGGTTCTTCAGGTGAATCCTTCTAATTATTCTCTCCCGCAAGGCGTGAAGTGCATAACGTCCATTGATTCCGGCCTAAGCCTTAGATTTGGGGCCTAGTTCTTTTCTGTCCGGTCGCGAACCTCAGGGAGGTCATCTAAGGGACTCACTTGTAATTACGATCGTCTAAGTCGTTTCCGTATATATGACTATATCGGTTTCTTTCTCAACCAATAGTGGTCACCCTCGGTATTATCTATTCTGGAACGAGAGACTTCTCGCTCCTCCAAGTGTTCCGCCTCGTTCTGAGTAAGGATGAACGTTCGGCTACGAGTATCCAAAGAATCTTTGAACAAAGATGAATTTAACCCTTATTGGCAATAAATGAATTTGAGAAAAGTGATGCATGACAGATGAAATTTGTAGACTTATGCCTCCTAACTAGCGACTGAATTGTCTGACTGACTGATCTGTTTGAAGGTAGCGTTCCTGTGTGGAGGAATGACTCATGGAATGCATATTCGGATCTGGGTAACAGTCTGACCTGTGGACCTGCATAATGCTGGCCGTATACATCCTGTTTCCGTGAGTCTCCGTCTCGAACTGAGGAGGGTTGTCACATGATGTGGCGCAACGGCATGTAGAGTGCCGTCACTAGTCTTCGGGTTACTTTGTGACGGGAACGTACTAACCTCGGTTGAACGAGCTGATGAGGTCTATACCATTACTAGCATCTACCGGTTGCACCAACGCCTGTAGCTATGAGATTTCGATACAGTCCGACAGTAGTCCTATTGATAGGCTTGGTGTTTTACGGACGTGACAATTTACTCTGTGTTGAATTATTTATGTATCGTTTCCGCGAATTAACATTACATAATGCTATACCCTGCGTTTACCTGTTCGTGGTCGTGTGTTTTTACGGCCGTCGCCTTGCTCTTGCATGGATCAATCCGTGGGTGGAGTGCAGAAGAGGAGTCGCTGCTGGAAGGCCGTGGAAAAGAACATTTGGAAGAAATTGACTGTCAAGACCGAAGTAGTAGCGACGTTCCGGGTCAATAGTCTAGTATAGTAGGGTGGCCGTCCGATCACCTGCCGTCGTAGCATACACACATCCAATTACCAGACATGACTACATGGGGGGGAGGCGGCTGTGGAAACACCCAATCGGAGCTACGGTTTGTGCTTACGCCATCCCACGAGAACCGGTGAGAAACAAAAGCGTAGCCAATTACGCTGGCTTGTGACAAATTGTGGATACTCTTTCTGTACAGGGGCGTGGTGGTCGTGGGCCATACACCGATCGATCGTCGGCTCTTCCATGGGGGAAGACGAATCTGCGAATGTCACCTATAGTAAGGTAATCTGACACGTTCTGCATAGTGGGAGTAATTACTTGCGATACGACCCACCACTGCACTCTCTTGGCGTGATCTTACCCTGTAGTCCTGCAGTATCAGAGACAGCGTTTTCTTGGGCTGTAAAGGAACACGGATATAGGTTATGAGGCACTACTAGCCGTGGTGTTGTCAGCGCTCAAGGTCGTGTTGAATGCAGTGGAGCTGCAACCTTAAGTGAGTAACCTATATCGTACTTTACCTCTGTCTTCTCCTCAGAGAATAATGGCACAAGACCTCCTCCTCAAACTACCGACGTGATACAGCCGACACCACCCAAGGTTTTGGACATAATATGGCGTGCTACCAGTATATCAGGAACGCTGCCGTGGTGTCAGCGAGAGCCCGGCCGCGTTTGCCCTAGTCTGGACAAGCGCCCGCCGTGGCTAACGTATACAGTCAAGCGACACAAGACCGCTAATGGAGAGCAGGGCGCACCACATGAGATATGCAGACAAATCGACGGCGTCCGCACCTTCACTCTTCAACAGCATCATGCGAGCTGGGAGGTGAGAGTGTCCTTCACATCCCCTAGCTAAGGCAGATGTGAATGGACCTTCCGGATGAGGCCGATCTAGTGCTACGAGAGATGGAACGGATCATACATGCCAGAGGTAGCCGCGATGATACATCAGACTCCATTCACAGGTAGTCTTCATTGACCCTGGAGAAGCCATCTACTGGCGTGGACTGAGCACTAATCGACATAGGACGTATCTTGGTCTCTGTACCGCAAACACACCCCCTGTGTGCGCTTTTCACCGTTGCGGGACAACGTTTAATTCATCTCAGGAAGGCCAAGTGAGCATTCTGAATCCGAAGCGCTAGTCCGCCAGAGTAGCAGTTCGGTTTCGCCAACAGGGAAGTAGAAGTATCTATCCAATCGTCGCTAATGTGGGACTTCCGTCATAAGCAATGAGAAAACCAGTCAGCCTGCAATCACCGGGATGGTCCTTACGAGAGCAATGGCTGGACAGATGCAAGAAGAAGCAGGAGCATCTACAGGGGTGACTTCTAGTGAGGTTTACGTATAAACAATCCTTCTTCTCGTTACCTACGAGACACTTATATTTGGTTTGTACAGGAAGTAAGAAATATTGTAGATATGATTGTGCGTGTCCAAAGCGTTAAATTCAACGAGACCAACAAAGGAATCCAAAAAACAAAGGGAGTAGATGCTTACGACATGCACACGTCCACGTTAATGT